CAACCCCCCCCCCCCCAAGGCCAAAAAAAAAAAGAAAAAAATTGTTTTATTATTGATGACGTGTAATATATTCGTAGTTTCATTATTACGCTTTGAACTTAAAATATACAACTATACACATATTATGATAGTTAAATAATTATATTGATAGGTGTTTGAAAAGTTTTGTTAACTATGCTGTTTTTATATTCCAATGGCTATTAATTTACTGTAATGTAAAAGTAAACTGTAAATTGGTAAAAAAGTTGTAAAAAATAATATCTATTTATAGCAGTTATTTATTTTATTTATCTGAGCAACGAAAAAAAAAAGATAACGATTATTTTTGTTAACCCCCCCCCCCAGAGCAAGATTGAATGTACGCCACTGTACATTTGTATAGGTTAATACTTTATGGTAAATAAATTATCGATTTAGAATGATTTTTAAATTGTAAATGTATGTACTTTATTTTAAATGAAAAAAATATTATATTTTTATAATTTACATAAATATTATAGTTAAATATGTAATCCTGTAAACTTTGTTGAAAGATATTCATAGCACTACAATACAAATCACTAGTTAAAATTTAACCATATTCTGTGTAAATAATAATTATATTTTTCGGAAAATAATTAAAGCTTATAAATTAAATAATAATGCATTAATACCTTACACCGAAAAATATAATATTGATTAATCATAAATTAAACATAAGCTTTATACAAATAGAGTACTTCATTCTAGATCCTAATCGTACCCTAATAATAATTATAATTAATCTAGTAATTAAAAAATATCTCAAAAAAAAAAAAAAATTAAATCAATTATAGAAAATGTTTCCCTGAAAATTTTCAAACACCATTTTTCCATTAGCTATAACTACAGAACACTTTTTAATAATCACTGGAATTATTTTTACTACGTATAAAACATTTAAATATTATTTTAAAATTTTTTATATTTATATAATAATAACTTTTATATTTTTAAATATAATTACTCTACTAGTAATATAAAGTTAGATTAAATTAACTTCAGACAATCTTAAAAAAATCCGTACTGATCGTAGATCTTTAAGTTTTCCACTAAGAAAATAATTGAACCAGGAAATATACAATTTTTTCTCCCGTTAAATTAATGACAGTAATCTATATTTTGATTTGTGAAAAGTGAAAAATCCTATAAAACAAAGAAATTATCTTAAAAGAAACTAAGTATTTAAATATCTTTTCCCCTTTGCTATTCCACATTTTTGAGAGTATTATATTTGGCTGTAACACATACAAGTAGTGCTCAGTTTAATATTTTTGAGCCATTATTAAAACACGTGAATCCCAGATTAGCTGTATACAACAAAATAAAATGGTTATTTAACCAAAGGAGCTGGAAAATTGTGAGAGTATCATTGTAAGAATAATAATAATTTTATAATGAAACTCCGACTAAATCGTAAAAAAATGTATAAATAGTAACCAATAACTATTTTTACAGTAAAAATCTCGTTTCTAATAAATAATTATTTATTTGACTATTAAGACCAAATATGTTGCTATAGATTTGATTAACAACAATAATTGTAATATTTTGTTTTTTAAAACAATCACAGCACTACTGGAACTAGATTTTTGACAACCAACCAAGACTGCGATTTCAGATTTGTAATATTCATAAGTTTTTACGATAATATTAATATTAATTAATATTTCAAATAACTAGAGAACGATGTATTCACCCATAAAGGTAATAATAATGTATTTTTTAAATTAATTAGTACAATTGGAACATCAACAATCACAAAGTACGTTTATGGTAGGTCAAAGAAAATTCGTTCATATACTTTATTTTCCCGCAACATCAAATTATAATATGAATTTGTGTAGAATACCATTTCATTTAAACAGAATATTTGATTTAAATGAATTATTTCAATTCCAACAGAAACCCGTTGAAAAATATGCCGCATCAAAGAATGTTGAGAAAAGAAAACTAACACATAATGATACTAGTGAGATTGCCGGAAAACGGGTATATTGATTTATAATAATTAATTATTATTATAAACAAAGTATTTAATTATTACACGATGTACAATTTTTTGGTTTACATTCCATGAGTACATTATAAGACGATACAGGTACATCTGTTTTTGTTGTAGGCAAAATTCCATAAAACTACAGAAGACTCAGTGGTATCAGGAAAGGTTGACGCTCAATGTCAGTTTTCCAATCCTGGTACAAGGTCTCTTAAAATGGTCATCCGTGTTCCTAAAGAATTTCAAATCAATCCAAATGTTCAATGCCAATACTCTAACCCGGGTACAAAATCCCTCAAAATGATCATTCGAGTACCCAAAAATTGTGAACGTGAATTATCTTCTGCGAGTATGTAGAATTATTTATGTATTAATATAATAATATAATAATCTTACTTCAATTCATGAATTACATTTTTTAAATAATTTTTATAATAGCCAGTGAAAAAAATTAATATTTTGATTTATCCAACTCAGATTATGGTTGTCTCGTAAATTTTTTTCCCTGGACTTAATTTATTATTTTAATCTTCTGGACTCTAATATAAATTACTTGCTGATCCCTGCTTTAGAATATTCATATTTTTAACGCAATAAGTTTATCTTTAAGAAATATATTATCATTATAAATCAGAAATAATATATTACAAATTAAGTAGTCAAATTAGAATTAAATAATTAAAAACTTTATTTTTTCTACTTATAATTGAAATATATCGAATCTTAAACAATTTCATACAGCTACAGAGGCGAAATCAAAACAACAAAATATAATGGAAAAATGGGAAACACCAATAAATTCCAATACTGATTCATTACAATGTTCTGATTCTGATTCAGAATCTTATAAAACGGTTATTCGTGCACCCAAAAAGTGTCCACGTAAATCAACTTCTGCAAGTATGTACAATTTAAATTCTTATATTTTAAGATTTCCTTTTTTTTTCTTATACTTGGTGCATTTGACACTTGAATATGCATTCTTTCATTACAGTAAGTTAATCTTTTTTAAGTGTATTATAGTTTTAAATCCGATTATATTTGTTTAATTTTATATTTTTAAATTTAAGAAATTACATGAATCATGAATTTTTATATAATCATATAACAATAGTTCAATCCTATTATTATATTATAATAAACTTATGAATATTGGGGTAGATACGATTGAGGGCGTCTTTATCGGTTGTACCTTTTTTAATAACACAATTGAGACGTTTTTTCCTACTAATTTGTATGCAACGTTGCCACATCAATTAAAAATATAAAATGGTATACCTGATATTACATTTTAATATAAAACTAATTTGTTAATAATTAATAATAAAAATAAATAATGAAAAAAAAACTTTCTCTTAAGATTTGTTTTATAATTTTCTGATTATTAATACTTGATGTATGAAAAGATATATTAATTTTCGTTAATTGACTTAAAATACAATTGTTATTGGAACATTTCCATTTCATTAATTCGTCTTTGCTTTGTCTTACAAATGAAGATTTATAAATATTTAATACGTTCTTTTCCACAAACGTTATATTTTTAAACTTTTTTACATTATTTCCGCTGGCCACCAAACAATTGAATTTGGCTTATCCACAAATTATGATTATAGGAAATATTAATAATTATTTACCATGATAATGTATTTATTTCCTTCATTGCTGAAAATTAAGATGAACAACAATGTCACTTTAAAAATCGTTCTCAATCGTTTGAATATGAGGTAGGTACATATAAAATAATATACATATAAAATTGTATTTCTTTGATTTACTAATAATTGTTCACAATCGTAGAAGATCGGAATATTTATATTTCAATGACATCATAAAATAAAAATTGTTTAAAAA